ACGTAACGTAACGTAACGTAACGTAACGTACGTAACGTAACGTAACGTAAGTAACGTAACGTAACGTAACGTAACGTAAGTAACGTAAGTAAGTAAGAAGAAGAGAGAGAGAGAGAGAGAGAGAGAGAGAGAGAGAGAGAGAGAGAGGGGGGTGGGGGCAGAGAAAAAGAATCCAGCTAGTCAGACAGGAAAAAAAAATTGTAAAAAAACCACTCTCTCCCACCTTAAAGGAAATTATTGCTTTTGTCCTACTGCTGCTGTTCTCGAAGCCAGATTCCAGGGCAGAGAAGTTCCCCACGACCTTAGCTGCAAGCTTCACTATTTCCTTGACAATTGATTCTCTGGACTTATGGAAGGTGGGATTGTTGTAAAACTTCTCCTGCCAATTATACCCAGAACCTGATGATTCAGGATTTAAACAACTACCTGATGATGTGCTCATCATAACTAAGTTATTTCTATGCTTTTTGATAGTTGACTTTATATACTTTTCAGTAATTATTGAAAAAATCTGCTCAATTACGGCAATATCTTTTACGCCTCGATGTGGACATCCTAATATTGAAGAACCTATCCTAGACAATTTATTTGTTGCCAACAAGAAAACTGAGATCAAAGACTACAATGGCAGGAAAACATTTTCCTTTTTTATTGACATGAAACCAACAGAAAAATGATGACCAGTGAGGAATCCAACTGAGTGATGATATTCACTGCATGTTTGTTGCACCAAAGAGTTCTGGAATCCCTGTCCTCTATGTGTATATGGTCAATACTTTTTATTACTAGAAACATAAAGTAATGCATTAGATTATTATTTGGTAGGCCAGCTTGGCTTGCAAAAGAGAGGTTCAAACCCAAAACCTCTCTCAATGGAAACCAGGTCCCTCATAGTTAAGCCAAAGTCCTGGTTGACAAACAAATAACACAGGTCATCTTAAGCACCAAGAACTTTAGGAGCTCTATAATCATTTCATAAACACACAATACTTGTTGGCTAATTATAAGTGCTTGGTCACCATGAGGATATTTGCTCAAGCAATCCAACCATAAAGGACTTATGAATCAATTCATATAACACTCAAGGGCATACACCCATATAGTGTCTTGTATCTTGGAGCAAATCATTCTTTCATACAAGATCGAAAGAAACAAGAAAAAGAACATAATCTCTAAGCTTTCACATCAGGTAAAATACATGTCAACTACTTCTAGTAAGATGTAGTTGGCTTTGCTCCCTAATTCAAGATGTTGGTGTTCAACTCGCATCCAACTATATGAACACAATATAAGGGCTATCAATATCGCACAGAAAAAGTCTTTTAAAGATATAGAGGCTAACTAACAGTTCAGTTGACATCATATTTCCATTGGTTTCATGTCAACACCTCATATCAGCATTTAAAACCCTGGCCCAGGGCTCTGACTTGCAGGATCCATGCCCTTGTCAGAGGGAAACTTGGCCGAGTCAGACTACCTGACTCAGCCAAATCGCAGATAAATATTACATAAGCTATCGCTGGCTTGGGGCAGACTCACTTGATTTTTAGCATTAGTTATGCATATCAAGCACCCTACCAGGTTGAAGTGACCGTGGAGAGTCCAAGCCCGAGTCAGCAATTTTTAATCACTGTCTTGCAAAAAGCATGCAATATGTCAGCTTGACAAAGTGGACTTTTGTAAGCAATAATATAGTAAAAGATATATCCATCACCTTGTTAAAAAAAAAAAAACTGTCATCTTGCAAAAGTTGTAACTCTAACACAAATATGTTTCTGTTAAAAAACTGTCACTAATTGAAAGTCGCAGCATCGGTTTTGCAGAGAATATGGCTTTTACTTGATAAAGATAAAATTTTATTTTGTAATTTGTCAATTGAAAATAGGGTTACATGGAAATACTTTGGCGTTCTTTCCTTGAAAGGATCACTATTGATTCGCCCCAACAATGTGTTTATAACCTTGGTGCTTCAATGTTTCTGACAGAGAATTCCATTTTTCCATGACCCAGTTTACTTTGACAAGAGAGACAGGAAAAACTATACTTCTCCAGTATGAGACAAAGACTAACTCAGTCTTTTATATATTAGAGGAGATGAATCATGCGAGATAACTAATTTGGAACTAGGATCAAACCAACATAACGCCCAAATACCCTTAACAGGTAACCAAAAGATGAGGGGAAACATTGTATCGCAAGGTGTTGAGAAGTTCTGTGGTCATTTCTAGAAATACTAAATCATTTCTTTGGTAGTAGCTCAAACGACAATAGCAGTTCTGCTAAAGGAGGCTTTGGAGATCAAAACCCATGTTTCATCTGTTTATCAAAAATAATACTAGTAAACAGAAGAGAAGAACAAGAAGAAACAGAGACAGGTACATTTACAATAATGGAATAAACAAACTTTTTAAAAGTGTCACTACAGGATTTTACTTAAATATGGGTCTATTTATGGTGCAACTTCAGCTGCTCCATAAACCATGGCAGCTCTTCATCCTCATATAATGAGCACCCAAAAATGTTCCAAAAATATCTGCACATCATTTTCCAATCCAAAAAATGCATTTGGAGCTCCTCAAAAGCTCCAACTATGATTGATATACCGTCCATAAAATTTTTCGATTGGATTGGTAATTGAGCATGTTAGGGCTCTATACCCACTTTTTTTTTTCTTTTTTTTCAGGAGATTGATTTTTGAGAAGAAGAGAATGTTTGGAGCTTTTTTTAGGTCCTTTTGAAGAAAATGGGTTTATGAGGTGCAGCTCCACAGTTTTGGGCTCAGCTACAGCTACATCAAAAACATTTCCATTAAACACTAGATGAGCAACTACTAGGGGCTCGCTCACTCACACGTTGCCACAGTCCATTTGCAAAACAAAAATTCAAAAAACACAGTACCAAAAAAAAAGACATGTTAAATATAGCATGACTTGATAGACCACAACAGCCAGTAAAGAAAATTCCTTGAAAAGCTAGAAATATGAGGTGAATTTAATAAACTGAAGATACCAACAAGGCAGCAACAAGAACGGACTTTCAACCTGATGTTTAAAGAACGTCTCCAACAATGGATATGTGGTAGAAGAGTTCAATGTATCCGCAATATGCAATGCACGGCAAGAAACAAATGAATTGTCGTGGTATCTGCAATTGCAAAACCAAATAAGATTGAGAATAGTTTTTCGTACTCATACATTAACATATCAAAACAAAAAAAAATTGACAACGGAGAAATAGGCTGGGGAATGGATTCAAATTTTGAAACACTTTCCAAACATTTAGAACCTGTGAAAAGATAATATAAAGGCCGTATGTTGTTATCATGTTAGTTCAACACATAATTCGTCAATTAGATCATTATATGCTCGCACCCCCAAAGTCAGTTCAGCATGCAAATTGAGAAGGAAAGAAGCAATAACAAGAAAGACAAAAAATACAAGTTGCAGTACATAATTCCCATAACATGACTAAGACCCAACTAATCAATTAAATCAAAACCATTCATTTACATTTCCAATTACCATTCTTTTACTTCTCCAGAACCAATCTTTACACAAAATCCAAGATAAGCCCAAAAGAAGTAAGATCACCAATAACAGTAATACATCTAAATACACCAATTAGTCAATTACATGTGACCTTTTCCTTTTCATAAGTAATTCATTGAAATCCACCATTTTATCTATCCTTTAAATATAGTACGGATGAATTGAAAAGAGTTCATATAGATGAAGTCAAAGAAAAAGATGAAGAGAAAGAGGTAGTCAAAGAAAACCAGAAAGACAATGAAAGAGAAAGGCAATTCACAGATATAGATGAAAAAGATAGGTAATATTACAGAACCTAAGCAATGGAAACGCTATTTTAGGGCATCAAACAGAATATATGAATGCAATTTGCAAAAGAAGTAGAGAGAGAGACGGGGATCAAAGAGAGAAGTAAATTAATACATATGGATGATGAAATGGAGACTTACGGTAGAGCAAATGGGTGAACAATGAGAGAGACGTGGTGAGAGTAGTCATGCAGAGCCTTCTTGAGAGGTGGCCATGCGTCTCTGCTATCGGGGCAGATGGGATCGAAGAAGGCCTCGACGATAATGGAGTCAAGGCTCAAATACTTGTGCTTATACAGAAAACCATCGTACCTTGGTGGAATCGGAACCTGAGAGTCAACTGTGAGCACAAGCATAGATGAGCAAAAGAGCCATAACCACGACACTACGAGAGCCGAAACCCTAATCTTTCGATCCTCCATGTGTCTTTTTGGGCCTGGATGAAGCTCTGCTCTGCTCTGCTCTGAAATTGTCGCCGAGCTCAGTGAGAGATTCTCCGCTCCGAAGAATAAGAGAGAGCGAGGAGGAATTTTAAGTTTCGTGGAAGGCGTTAAATAGTTACTAATGACGGGCAACGACTTTTGCAGAGAGGATTATATTATTCTATTTGAATGTGAGATATTTATTTGCAAAAAGCATGTAAAAAGAAAAAGGAAAAAATACGAAATCAATTACCGGGTAAATTCATTTTAAAAAAAAAAGTTTATATAAGGTGCACCTAAATGACCCACTAGAAAGTTGTTCTCATGTTGAAAAACCTTTAAATTGATCTCGACCTTGACATTCATATATATATATGAAAAAAAAAGGATTTTTTGGTACTTAAAAGAGTTTATCTTCTAACACATTATCTAGATGACCGTTTATTTTCGAGATTTTCAAGTGTTTGCTTCATCGTCACTATTTTTTAAAAATTAAATTTCATAGTTGGGGACAACAATGGATTTCATATCAGAAGGCTTTGCGGCACCAAAATTGTATTTTCGGCATAGTTTTGAGGTGCACCTTACTTCAATAGTTTAATGTTGACACCTTATACAAACTTCACCCTTTACAAAAATACTGGGAGTACTTCTACACCATTTTGAGTTTCATTTCCAAGGTAATGGTCATGGTTTCTATGAGTCCATGTAGAAATAAGTGAGATTCTTAAAAATTTATTTTTGAGATGGATTTTTCGAACCCAATTTTTAAGGACATGCAATATGTAACATGGAGATCATGAATATAAAAATTAAATAAATTTAAAGAAATATACATAATTATTTTGTGAAAAAAACATTTGGAATGTTAGTTTCAATTGTTTTTAGATAGATCACCTATTTGCATTCATCTTTAAGATTGATGCTTTATAACTTGAGACCGTATATTGTAGAAAGGTGGTCCAACCTGCATGAAACAATTTCCCATTGTTAATATCCCAATCCAATTGTCCAGATAAAGGAAAATATACTTAGGTGGGCGGCTATATCACTTTGGATGTGTGATCTGGTTCAAGTAGAAGGATTTAAATGGGCAAAAAGAAAGCTGAAAATGTTATGGCTGGAAATCGTGAGAAAATATATGGAGACTTACAATCTTATTGAAGATATAGCTCTTGAAAAAACATAATGGTGAAGCAAAATTCGTGAAATCGACTCCAAGTAGTTGGAATAAGACTGTGATGATGATGATGATGATGTTGGAATAACCGCTCTAATTAATCAGACTTACGTGATATATACTGGAAAGTAATGAATATGGGCCGGGCTTCCTGCCCCATTTTTCCGCCCTTCTCAAAACTAACAGGAGACTTGAGTAGACCTTTGAACTTCTAAGTTATAAGAGAAACGTGTGATTCACCATGGGGAAATGAAGCTCTATACTCGCAGCAAAATGGTGTTATAAATATAAAAAATCATTGCTGATTGGGCATGGTGAGACCCATTATTATGCATGCAAATCCCATTATGACCGTCTGCAGATATGCTCTTGACTATTGTGTACATCTTGAACAATGGTGTATTCTATACCTAAACCCCTAATGACTTTTATTATGGTAGAAAACATGATATATCCCATTCACATCCTTAGAGATTGGCTGATTATATAGATATCCCATCTTATCTTATTACCCAGTAGGTTACATAGAATATAAATTGAGTGCATTTCTACCACATGCTTTGAGAAATCTAAGGAGTGAGTAATATGTAATGGTAGTACCCCTATACCTAGTTACCACGTACGTTGTGGTTTTCAATCTTACTAGCAACACTTTAAAAAAAACGAACATCCTAAGGTATGAAAAAACAGATAGGGGTCTGTCTTCCTCACTAAATTATCCAAAAATAAAAAAAGAAATTGACTTGAAAGAGATTGAATATAGATGTAGACTTTGGCAAAGATATTCTTCCACAATTCCACTAGAGAATGATAGTAGGAGTATTCCCATTTGTCACCGTTTCAAACTCGAACTAGCAGTAGTATTGGCCATGGGTTTGACAACGGTCTCGCCTTTTCGAATGAAATTCATGGCCCCTTCCAAGTTATAAGAGATCAAAGTGATAAACAAATGAGAATGTGAATTTCTAATTTAAAGCACGATTGCCTTAGAACTGAAGGATAAAATAAGGGGTAGCAACGGGTCAGGTCCGGGTCTGGCTAGGCTCGGATCCGGTCCTAAAAATATGGTGTGGGACCTGGACGCGAACCAAAAATTAAAATGTCAATATATTTAACTATATGTAAATATATTTCATATATTGGACCCTAAATATATTACTTGACCCGGACCCAATCCGTTGGGTTCAATTACAAACCCATACCTGAACCCATATTAGGTCTACCCCTCGGATCGTGGGTCGAGTCCTAGTTCCTCCTTGCACGAAACAAAGCTCTCAATAGAATACTGCTCACTTAATTCCCATGAAACACCATTAACCTCTATAACTTATGACTTCCACCTCTTTCTTCCAACTTCAAAATAAATACAAAGTAAGGTGCATTTCCAAACTTTATCATAAGATGCAATTTTGGCATCGTAAATTCTTAAGATAGCCTGCTAACCTATTTTAATATTTAATTATAAAATTTTATACTCCAAAAATGATTCAAACCAAGCATATCTACAAACTTATGAAAATCTTGAAAATGGGTCGTCCAGATAGTGTTGTGATCTGTACTAATTTTTAGAAATTTAAATCTTTTTTTTTTATTCATTTCCGTACATCTTGTCATTGAGATGATCAATTAGATTGTTTTCCAATGTCAAAATATCATTTTCCAATGGATGTTTTATTTGCACATTAATTCTACAATATAAAAGGTCAACCTTATATGAACTTTTCCTATATAAAAATCAAATTGAGGATCTAAATCTCATTTTCATTTTCTTACCTATTGGGAATAGAGTTTGATGTGATTCACATCCATATAATTGTCCCAATCCTATCGTTACAATAGTTTTTGAGAAATTTACACTAATATACCAAATATAAATGTTATTAAAGAAATTTCCCCCATTTTTTCTATTTTATTTATCCTTTACACTCTCTTTTTTCCCCCCAAATTCCTCCCACTTTTAAATCTAAATTGACAAAACTATTTTGTAATTTCACATCTTGAAGATCCAAAGTCATGCTCACACATACTCATTTCTTTTTATATTTTTGTTTTATTCCCATGACTACCACTATTTCGGATCTTTAATATCCAAATTCATATTCAATCAATCTTGAAGATCCCAAAGTCGCATTGACCATCCAAATTCATATTTGATTGATTTTGAAGATCCCAAAGTCGCATTGACCTTATGTATTGAGACTTAATTTTCGGATCTTCAAGATCTGAAGACAAATATAATTTCGAATCTTGAATAAGTGAAGTCGTGACAATTTCGAAAATATAAAAAAATTTAAGAAATAGTCAAATCTTAAAGATCCAAAATGGTAGTAACTTAAGGATAAAAAAAAAGGAAAAAATAAAATATACATGTAAAATAAAAAAATCAAGGGATTTCTTCAAACATCGACTTTTGGAAATATTAGCATAAATTTATCCTCATCTTATGAAACTTTTATAGAAAATGCCATTTTATTATAAAAAATTTAAAACAACCATATATATTATATAATTTATGTTTAAGCCCCATTTTTTAATAGTGTGTATTGTATTTTAGTTTTGGTTTTCTTTATACATCAGATTGAGGTTGAATTTGGGTACTTGATACATCTCACCCTTTCACATTTGAAAAAAGAAAATCGTTTGATATCAAAATAAGTAAAGCCTCACCTCATATCACATCGAAAATTACAATTCAAGTATTGAACAACCTTTTTATTAATCATGTCATCTTGAACATTTATAATTTTGAAAAAAAAAAAAAAAAAGATTTCAAGCTAGAAATATATTGTATATTTCAACAAATTGTGTAGGCCATCCATTTTGCCCTAAAAACAAGTGTTCAAAGATTTGCAAGATCATTACATTTATTGAGTTTAAAAGTTTGTTGTCGGTGTTGGAAATTGATTTTAGATCCGAGATTTCTGTTGTCGGAAGTGCGTTCCATATGAGGATTTGAGGTGAGGAATTATTTGGTTTTTATAAACTATGCATTATAGAAACTTCATCATTGGAAAAAATACAAATTAAAATACAAAACAAATAAAATCACCAAAATACTTTTAGACCTTAAAAAACAATATAGGATATTTTTTATTGTTTTTATTTAGTTTTTTAATATTTTCACAATGGTGTTATGATAAGAAGTATGGATGTCAAAATTTGACCTTATTCAGATACATACAAAAATATAATTAGAATATAATATTTAATATTGGAAAAAGTTTATACAACGCTGCATATGCACCTCAAAAATGTATCGAAAAAAGTTGTCTTAATGTTGAAAAACTCTCAAATTGATCATCTCGACGTCAAGACGTATGGATATGAAGAAAAAATAAATTTCGAGTCCCATTAATAATGTATCTTACAATACAATATCTAGACTGTCTATTTTCAAGATTTCCACATGTTTATAGATCTACTTGATTTTAACCACTTTTTGAGTTTAAAATTTTATAATTAGATATGAAAATAGGTTTTCAAATAATCCTAAGAATTTTCTGCACCAAAATTGCATGTTATGATAAATTTTGATGGTGTGCCTTAATTGGATTGTTTAAAGTTGCAACCTTATAAGGGTGTGGTTTCTATAAGGTTGCAACCTCAAACAATCCAATTAAGGCACACCACCAAATTTTAGCATATATAATTTTGGTGTATTTTTTTTTTAAGATTATCTGAAAATCTATTTTCATATTTAATTATAAAATTTTAAACTCAAAAAATGGTTAAAATCAAGTAGATTTATGAAAATGTTGAAAATGGACAGTGTAGATAATGTGTTGCAAAAATGCACTATTATCAAATTTTTTATTTTTTTTATATTCATACATCTCGATATCGAGATGATCAATTAGTGGATTTTTCAACTTTAAAACAATATTTTTCGATGGAATTGTGAGGTGCATCTTTAATTTTCGGTTGCAACCTTATATAAACTTTTTCCTTAATTATAAAAAGTAGGACTTATATATACAGTATAAAATAGGAAAGTATATAATAAGAGCATTTACCTTTGATACAAAGTAGTCACAATTAATCATGACAATTGGATGAGAAATTGGGTGGCTACATTTATTTCCTTAACTAAGTTCAAAGTTCAAAAGAAATATTTTTAAATTTTATGACACACCAAAGCTAACAGATTTCACATCGGATAGTTGTAAGTAATTGTGATATTTCTTTACCAAAGGTAAATAATGTGATTGTACACAATCCCAAAATGATAGACGAGGCTTATTAAATTTCGATCCTCCCCCACCTGTTGTTTTTTTCTTTTTAAGTTTCTCCGACTTTTCCTTGGTTAGTATCCAGCACGGCTCGGGCATTTCAGCCTGGTACAAGTCGGGCCCCGATCTCTATGGAGTAGAACCGGGCGAGGGCTTCAAGGCCCGAACCCGGCCATTTGCCCGCTCTCCTCTTTCTCTATCGCTGTAGAACCACCTCTCAACCCTATTTCCACGCATCCATACCAACTTTCCATTTCCCTCTCTAAAACCCCTCTCTTACTCTCTTCCTCCCTCCCTCCCTCCCTTTTCTCGCTCAAAACCCATCAACCAACAGTGAACGCCGAATCGCACTCTGTTCTCTGCAATGGCGGCCATGATGGTACTCCATCTTTCTCCAAGCTCTCTAGCTTCTTCCTTTCTAACTTTACTATGAACGTTTTAGGGTTTCCATTTCCTCTGCTTCGCTCTCACTAACCATACATGACGTCTTCCCTTTTCCCTCATTCTCTGCAACTATTTAGGCTTTGGATACTATGCTGATACTCTCTCTATAACTTCTCCAACTCTTTGCTTTCTCTCTGTACTAGAAACCGGCTGTGCTTTCATTTCCTCTGCTTTACTACACACATCAAAGACGACCTCTTCCCCTGTTGTCAATCTGCGTGGCTATTTAGGGTTGGATTTTATCATTTCTAAACTAAAGTTTTCTATTTTTCGTTGCAGCAACCCCAGATCATACTTTTGAAGGAGGGAACAGACACTTCACAGGGGAAGCCACAACTGATCAGTAATATCAATGCTTGCACAGCTGTTGTTGATTCAGTGAGAACAACCCTAGGTCCTCGAGGAATGGACAAGCTTATCCACGATGATAAGGGGAACACCACCATTTCGAATGATGGAGCCACCATTATGAAGCTTCTTGATATTGTTCATCCGGCTGCTAAGATCCTCGTTGCCATTGCTAATTCTCAAGATTCAGAGGCAAGTTCTTGATGATTCTCGTCCTCATTCATTATTTTCTTTTTCTAGATCATGTTCGTTGTTTGAGTGACTTCACTTTTTGTTTCACTTTGTTTGATACTTTTCTCTTTATGTTTTTGGTTTGTTGTTTGGGTAATGTCCCTTTTCGGTTTATACTTTCAGTGCTTGCCTCTCCGTTTTACCCCCCTCTGATCATGCTCATTCGATTTGAACTGGATTTAGTTTGGTATTGACACCAATTCACACATTGGAGCACTTAATTTTATGGTTTTTGTTTTTGTTGATTATGTCGGTAATAAATAATATTTTTTTGAGAACTGTTGACTTTATATTGATAAAATGCAAAATTACAAAAAGTATATAAAGGCATCCCACAGGTGGGTGCTCAGAGTACCAAAATAGGGAAGGGGCGGGGGTGGGAAAAAAAAATTAAATACAATTACAAAAAAATGAACCGCCATTAGGTCTAATTTGGGAGGCATTGCTTCTGGCTTCCATAATGTGGGCAGTCGATAATAAATAATAATTCCATTTGATTTACACAAGAACAAATAAACTTATGGTTCTGTTATTGATTGAGCTCTACTTCAATTATGGATGAACATCACATGACTGAGTTTCAGTAAGTTTATGCAGAAACGTTGGTTTTTTTCTCTACTTTCTTGTATGTATGGATCCCGGTGTACTTTCTTGGGGAAAAAAATGGATGGCCTAACTTAGCACAATTGATTTTTTTTTGTTTGGGAGGTAACGTTTGACCATTTTTCACCGACGAAATTTTAGCTTTGAAATTGAATGTGGTTGAGGAGAACGTAATTGGGCTCCTTATATTTTCTTTGATCCATCGCCCATTGTTTAGGCTCTTAGATTTAAACCTTTGATCATAATCCATCAATTGGGCATGCAGAATGCACATACCAGTGTTCGCAAAACTGGCCGATCTAACCGCTAACCGCCCTGTTAGATTTCGGTTTTGGGCGATTTTGGTGATCACCGGTATTTTAAATGTTAAATAAAATATAACTTCAAATTTGCATCAGCTACGTTACATTGGTAAGTTGGTTAGCTTTGACGAGAAGACACCATATGATTCGTGGTTCGAATCCTGTCGCCCAAGCGTTTTCTTAAACGCTATTTTAAGCCCTTGCCATTTATCTACTACTCAGTAGTGCGTTTTTTTTAACGCCATGTATTTACTACTAAAAAAACGCCATTTTATTTACTATTTAGATTATAGCGTTTTTTTTTTAACGCCATTTATTTACTACTGAAAAAATGCCATTTTATTTACTATTTAGCTTATAGCATTTTTTTTTAAATGCCATTTATTTACTACTTAGTTGACTATTAGACCCACTAACCAATAGGTCATTAGTTACCAAAAAGAAGGGCCTCTATTATATATAACTCAATTTTTCCTTAATTTTTTTTTTAAAAATAGTTGGTCCAGTTGATTTTCTTAACATTATTTTAATATTCTTTACATTATGGTAAAGATTAAAACTTTCTTTGGTCGTTGATACTCATTTTTATATTTTGTCATTTTTTTCAAAAAATTTTAATAATACCCCTAAGCACAAATTAATTCGTTAAAATCTATTTTTTTCATTAATTTTCAACTTCGTTTGAGTGTGTTTTGTTTTAATAACATTCTTTATATGCTTCATCTTTTAGTAGATTTTTTTGTATATTCTTTTATTTCTTCAACACTTTTTTTATCGTTTAGGACTTGCCCGGTTAGAGCGGTTGAATCGGCTGGTTTACCGGTTAGGCCGGTTAAATCACTTCCGGGTCCATGTCTGGTTAACCGTTCCAGTTTGATTTTGTGGACATTGGCACATACATATGGAGTCAGTGCTAGACTCTATAAAGAATCCTTGTTTTTCTTATTATGATTCTGTATGTAGTAATTCTGTTAGATTAGTGCTTCTAGCGATTGGACTCAATGGGGAAGTGGAATTTGATCCATGATGTTCTATTCCTTAGGGCTTATTGTATTCTCATGGAACTGTGCCTATTGCACTCATCCATGAATCTACCATAATTTGTACCTGGGCTGGAGAAACCCACTCAACCTCCTCCATTAATTGCCCAAAATTGTGATATTACCCTAGGCAGGCAGTGGATTAGGAGTCATCCTGAGGTCCTTGCATTTTGATGCAGGTCATAACTTATAGAATTATATTATTATTTATTGAATATTCCCTATTCAAAACTTCATCCTTTATGTAAGAATGTTTGATCAATTAGGAATCTCTAAATAGATGAATTTTCTTGTGCAAGTAGGCCTTGCACAAGTAGGGGAACAACTTGGCCAAGGGACTCCTACCACACCAACAACCTCTCCAAAATGATATTTATTTCATTCAGCACAACATAACATGTAGTATCTTGGAGAAGAATAGAATTCCGTGGCTGTCCAGGCTCCAGAGGTTCTGCCCTCTATATCACTACACTTTCCTTGTAAACTCTTCTTGAAGTCAAGTAGCTGCCCGCAATCATGGATAGTGAGAAGCCCAAGGTGTAATTATCCAGTCTTCGTAGACTTCTTGCTGGTGTATCTGGTCATTATTGTCCATAATTGATCCAACTTGCGTCTTGGTGTTACCCATGAGGACCCACTTGTTAATATAGTTAAGTTGGATTCACCCTAATTCATTGGAAGGGCCTAAGTTGAATAGTCCATGTGGCTGTTTCCATTGATCTAGGGGTTTGGAGAACCTAAGAATTATCTATTCTGCAGCTTTGTTTTTAGTGTTTTACCTTTAAGTGAAGATTCAAATAGCTAGGGTCTATCTTTTTTGTTTTCTATTATTGAAAATTAAATTGGTTGTTGAGATGAGGATGTTGAGATAGATGAGCGGCATGACAAGAAAGGATAGAATTCGACATGAATATATTCGAGGGAACTTAGGTTTAGCTTCAATAGGCAATAAGACGATGAAAAGTAGACATGTGCAGTGTAGACTTAATATAACACTGGTTAGGAGGTGTGACTTGGTTCAAGTAGAAGGCTCTAAAAGGGCAAGGAGAAGGTCCAATAGGATGTGGATGGAAGTGGTGAGAAAAGATACGGGGACTTATGGTCTTATTGAGAGTATGACCCTTGATAGAGCAAAATAGCTGAACATGATTTGTGTAGCCGACTCCAAATATTTGGATAAAGCTTTGATGATGATGATGATGATGACTGAAAATTAAATTGGTCAGCAGATGGGCATGCTAATTAAACTATGGGGTTCAACAAGCTTTTGTTATTGCAAATTCTTAAAGGATGGATGTCTTTGTGATTGACTACTGTTTCAAGTTGGTTGGGCTCTGGTGGATATCCTGGTTGCCATGTGGCTGCACAAAATGTTCTTGTGTAGGTGAAGGTGGGCTTCTCTTGCCTTTGCTTTTGTGTTGCAAGTGTGGTGTTTTTCCTTCCTTTTTCCCCCACAATAATGATATCCTTAAATGCGAAAAAAATTATCGTTTTTATTTGAACTGCACACTGCAAGTGCTGATAATGTCGACAGGGACATGGTTGTTAGCAAGTGCTGATAATGTCGACAGGGACATGGTTGTTAATGTTTGATTGGGTCAGGGGCTTATAAGTGATAACTATTATGAAAACCTAGAATAATTGCTAGAGATGAAATTATTTAAAAAGAAGAATAACTGTAAAGGATTAAATGTTTGATGAGGCTCCATACAATGTGAAACATGTAACTCTTCAATTACTGTGCATACCACTTAATTATCATAGAAATAGTTCAATCTATGATTTAATCCGCTTATAGGAGAGGCCTGCTCACTTCGAGGGGCAACATAACCCTCCATCTCTGAGAATCATTCCCCCGACAACTTTCCAACTCCTACTCCTGGTAGGCATTTTTACTTCGGCTACTCAATGATATATCTCTCTAAGTTCCCATGTGATTTTCTCAAGTTTCTGTTGAACTTTCGAGTCTTGGACCAATTCAGAGAAGGCCCACTCTCTCATGGGATGCAAACAGATAATTAGCTGCTTGGCCAGATGATTTTGTGGTTATGTAAAAGAAATATTTTTTTCTTCATCAATCGCACTTAGGATGGTGACATCGTGCATGCCTTAAATATCTTTCATTATTTTGCTACTCATGGATAATGTAATGGTGAGGTCCTACTGGCGAGTTCTTGAATGTGTTTGAATTTCTTGGATATGAAGTTTCATATATTTATTAGTCTTCATTTTATTCACTCAATTACCTGAATCAGTCAATTGTTCTACGTATTATTACAGTAGAATGGGTTGCATTAGTTCATCTCTTATTCTCCTCATTTTTTGATGCACTTGACATGAGATGTACACTGGCATTGGGAGTTATGAAAAGCAATTTGCTCTTTGCCCATGCAGTGCTTTCACATTGTACTGGCTTCTCTTGCCATCTCCTTGCTTTGATTTTCTTTTCCTTTTTCTGGAGGGAACATAGGTTTCTTTTCATAGTTTGGCGATTTGGTATGTTATGGTACTGGTATAGAAAGCAAATTCTATGGACCATTCAATCATTCTGGATTTTTCAGCTTTCTTTTTATTTGGATTCAGGTCGGTGATGGGACTACTACTGTAGTCCTTCTTGCAGGAGAATTTTTAAAAGAGGCTAAGCCTTTCATTGAGGATGGGGTGCATCCTCGGAATCTAATACGCAGTTATCGTATTGCATCCTATTTGGTATGTATTTCTATTTTTAACATAAAAATAAATGGTTCCTGCAATAAGAGATCATGATTTACTGTTGTTTTGGCCTGGATCATTGCATTTCTTTTGCAGGCAATAAACAAAATTAAGGAACTAGCAGTAAGCATAGAGGGGCGAAGTTTTGAAGAGAAGAAAGATCTGTTGCAAAAGTGTGCTGCAACAACCCTCTCTTCAAAACTCATAGGTGGTGAAAAGGAATTTTTTGCTTCAATGGTTGTGGATGCTGTAATGGCCATAGGACAGGGTGATAGGTTGAACTTAATTGGTGTGAAAAAGGTAGCATGCTTTCTCTTTTAGATGGAAATTTTACTTACATCTCTCATATTACTTGCTGTTTAATTTGATGACACTTCCTTTTACAACTAGAGTATTCAAAAGCTTAACTACTGTTTGTAACCTGGTAACATGTATTAAATTAACTCTTCAGGTTTTGATGGAATTGCCTGTTCTCGAATCCTTTAAGTGTCGTTTTAAATGGTTGAGGGCCAATCTCCCTCTTTTAGATCTTGCAGGCAAAATTAACAAAATTACTACATAAGTATATTTGTGTCCAGAAACATTGTGTACAGGTCTTGTACAATTGTGGATCAAAGTACAGAAATCTTGTAATGCTGTGCATATAAATTCATGTTATATTGGAAGTTGGAAGCCAAGTTTCTGAAACTCATTTCAATTTTAAGCATTCAAAAAAGAAAAAAGAAACATGAAGTCCTGTTTGGATGACTCTAACGCCTCCACTAACAAGGGGAGTTAATTTCAAATGTGTGAAAAACCTTATTTTTTTGTTTTTGTTTTCTTGTTTTTCAGATTTGGCAGCCATTCTGGTGGTGTTTTGTTAATGAAGGGGGTCACCTGTGGATTGTGGAGTGGACCAAAGTTGTACCATTTTCCCCTCCTAAATGGGTTTGGGGATCGACATTGTTCCTTTTTATATTCTGTCCAAATCGGTCCTAACAGTAGAATTAAGGTTCCTGAAGTTATCTTAGAGAATTAATGGAATGCAGATACTGTAAACGAGCCTCACAGTCACTGTTGTGATGTGTTGGATGTCGACAAATTTAAGTCATGCATTAGACACGTTGGGAGACATCTGGCGTATTGGGATGTCATACCAGCGTCATTGAGAAAAATATCATAAATATTATAAGATTTTAAATATTTATTATTTGATAATCAGTTGCAAACTGTTTTATTTGGCCAGTGAAAGGAATTTTGAAACTAAAAAAAAATGATGAAAAATAAGACTTAAACTTTGAGTTGGGGTTTAGCATTATTTGTGAAAAAATGCTTTCCCCCCCCCACCACCAACACCTTTATTTATTCAGTAGTTCATTTTTTTGGCTACACTTCCGTCTTCAATCTTTTACTACCGGTTGCCAATCACCAAAACAAAACATGGATGTGCGACCTTTTGCTATGCTTGAAGACTTGCATATGATTTTAGAGGTTTCCATACTGATTTGGCCATGGACTTGGTGTAGATTGTAGATAGAAGATGACTTTTGACATGGATATATACTTGATACTCTCAAAATGAATGAGTCAGGAACCATATCTTTGATATGTGCAAAATGATTTTTTACTATACTAGATTGTTCATGGTTGGGTCAACCCTTCAAGGTTCTGGTCTGGTCCATTTAGAGCTTTTTTGTTATGCTGACATAGATGAAGAGAATGCAAAACTCTAGATCCTTGAAGAAATGGAAAGTAACTTGGAAATAGTGTTGGATATATGGCTAAGGTGCTCGGATACAGATACAGATATGGGTTGGATATGGAGGGTGGGCACAACTCCGCATATATCAAAATCCAGGATAAGGATATGGCTATGATATCCAATTAAGCACTTTGATAGATAGTTATACATAGTATACATAAACATCTGCATCTAACAGATTGATGCATATGTATTCCATTTCATGATGCATAACATTATAATTTGTGCGAATTGTATTTTTATGCTTATGGAATTTTATGTTTTCTAGTATCCTAGGACGATCCAGTATTGGTGTTGGTTCTGCATGGTACTTTGAGGATATAAATGTGTCATTGCATTGTAGATAGGCAACTTTTGACTTTTGATATAAACAATATTCGAAATTGCCCTAAATTTTGGGATTACCATCTGCTTATGACCCTTTTTTTGACCCTTTTTTTTGAGAGTTGAAAACTTAATTAAAATCACAATATACATGTACCTTCTCCCTTCATTAATTATAAAGGAAAACATGGCTACATTTTCTTCGGCCTACCTGCTCGCTTTTTAAAAACTCTTGTTTTGCAGATGATTGACAGTTAGGATACTATCTTTGAAGTTAGACAATAACATAAAGAAACTTGGCATTGCCTCCCGCCAAAAATTTCCAACTTGGGAAAGGGTGGGGTGGTGTTTTCCTCTTCCCATTAAGTTTTCTTGCAATTAGTGAGATCCAGAGGATTCTCCTTTCTGAACTGCAAACTTCAACTTGTGCCCTTCTTTTGATATTGATCTTGGAGCAATTATAGCAACTCCACCAAATTAACTCTATGGTCTTCGCAATGGGGATCATCCGCTTGATGTCAAGTAGAACAGAGAAGTCTGAGGATCACAGGAATTGTGCTGGGAAACAGACCCAAGACACAGCAAAGAGGAATCTTTTTCTCAATTTCACGTGATCGTGGAAATGTACTGGCCTTGTATGTTGATGCAAACTCCTAAGTTTGGTTATTTCTAGGAATCTTGTTATGTGGGTGCATGTTTTGGAACCAATACATGCATTCTATTTCATATTATATTCATGCTTTTGGGAGTTGTTGTCAAGCATTGGGAATTGGTGCATAGAATCCAAAGGTTTTAAAGTTATTCTAACTAAGACCGAGTATATGGAGTGCAAGTTTAGTAATAGTAGGAGCAGAGACGAGGAAATAGTCAAGATTTATGGCCAAGAAATACAAAAAAGACCGCACTTTCGATATCTTGGGTTGATAATCCAGGAAAATAGAGAGATCGAGGAAGATGTTACTCACAGAATTAGAGCTAGGTGGGAGAAGTAGAGATGTGCAATTGGAATTTTATGTGATCGCCGCATATCAATGAGGCTGAAGGGAGAGTTCTATAGGACAAGGGTGAGACCAACGTTGCTCTATGGGGTGGAATGTTGGGCGGACAAAAAACAATATATCCATATAATGAGTGTAGCGGAGATGAAGATGTTGAGATGGATGAGTGGCAAGACAAGAAGGGATAGAATTTGAAATGAATCTATTCGAGAGAATTTAGGCGTGACACCAATAGGCAATAAAATGAGAGAAAGTAGATTTAGGTGGGCTGGCCATATGTGGTGCCGATCAAGTACAACACCTGTTAGAAGGTGTGAGTTAGTTCAAGTGTAAGGATTGAAAAGGGCAAGGGGTAAGCCCAAAGGACGCGGCTGGAACTAGTTTGAAAAGATATGAGGATTTATGGCCTCACTGAGGATATGGCCTTTAATAGAGCATAATAGAGAACCAGCCGATCCCAACTAATTGGGAAAAGGCTAAAATGATGATGGTGCATAGGTTTTTGATGTTTGCATGTGCAGGTATTTCTTGATGAACACTGAAAGACACATTTTGTTGACAAAGAAGTTGGGTTTCTATTTTTAACAGACACAAAGTTTGGAGAGGAAGCTTGGGTGTTGTATTTAAGGGGCTTTGTCAGAGGACAAGTTTTCATTTTTTTGAATTTCAATATTGAACTATTGTAAAAGCCGTTGAGCTTCTTTTGAGCTCCCTCCTAGTTGTTGATTGCTCTCTCTATTATTTTAAAGAATCTCTTTCAGATTTTTGGTTTATTTGTTTTTCCGTGATGAACTGTTTTTGTTGCCATTGACATTGACTAATTTTAGAGAGCAAAAATCTTACTTTAATGCTTGTTTACATCATTCATAAAGATGAACTTTGGGTTCTTCCTCATGTATTTATGGGAATAATCTCATTGTTGCAGTTTGGTTTATTGATCAGACATTAGAGTTTCAGTTGGACCACCTCTTATTTCTTTTCTTTTTGTAACTCCTATCATTTGGAGCTTCAATATTTATGGAACATTTGAAGCTATGTTTATAGGGTTATTTATCCGACAAGTGTCTGATTGTGTGTAGGTTCCTGGTGGAAACATGAGAGATTCTTTTCTTGTAAAGGGAGTTGCATTTAAAAAGACATTCTCATATGCCGGCTTTGAACAACAACCGAAAGCGTTTTCGGATCCTAAAATTCTATTATTAAACATTGAGTTAGAGCTGAAATCAGAGAAAGAAAATGCCGAAATCAGGTATGTATTTACATAATGGGCACCATATATAGCAGTGAGGAAATCCCTTTTCTGATTATGCATTTGAATTTCCATTCACAGGCTCACAGATCCATTGCAGTATCAATCTATTGTTGATGCTGAGTGGAATATCATTTATGACAAGTTGGATAAATGTGTCAAATCTGGGGCAAAGATAGTTCTCTCACGTCTGGCTATTGGTGATCTGGCAACACAGGTATGTTTCTCGCTTGATACCTCATCAATGTTTTTCTTAATTATGTTGCATAATGATGCAGGAGAATTGTTGGAAACAGTAAAATCCGCAGGAAACAAACCAAACACAAGCATAATTCCAAGAAATCTATGGTTTCTTTTGCAAACCCCAAGCTAGGATCCCAAAAGCCTAAGCTTTTCTCTCGTTCAATTTTTTAAAATCATGTGAATTACCCCCCTCAAGGCCCCACACACCTTATATGCTATAACTAAATGTTCCAAGTACAAACAATCGCCCTACACACCTTATATGTTATAATTAAATGTTCCAAGTACAAACAGTGTCCAAACGAATAATACATTGACCTGTATATCCTAACTTAACTTAAAATTCATATTGATAGTTTACCCATATGAACTGTACCCGTGAACACTACTCATGAATAATAATTGTAAATAGTACTCATTAAGTAAATAAAAAATTAAAAAAAAACCTAGAATCCCTAGGAAACAAAAACCCTAAAACTAAAACTATAATATACATCATTTGAAATTAAGTAAAAATTGAAAATAAGTATGATTTTACCCTCCATCACATGACCATGACTGGATATATGTGCAGTACTTTGCCGATCGCGATATCTTTTGTGCTGGTCGTGTAACAGAGGAGGATTTGCAGCGGGTCGCTGCCGCAACTGGTGGGACTGTGCAAACTTCTGTCAATAACATCATTGATGAAGTATTGGTTTTCCTCCCTCCATTTTTTCTTCTTATATAGCTATGTAGACTGTGGTGTTGGAATTGCTTATATTCCACCGGATTACTTTTTTTTCTTCTAATAGTCTCCTGATTCTAAACTGCTCCAAGTTACAGGAAAGGTGCTAATTGTAATAGGTCTTTTGGTTTTGTTGATATTTCATCACTAAACTGGAACTGGATGTTTTGGGTTGCGGTTAGGTACTTGGATCCTGTGAGCTTTTTGAAGAAAAGCAAGTAGGAAATGAGAGGTTCAACATTTTTAGTGGATGTCCCAGTGGCCAGACAGCAACCATTGTTCTACGTGGTGGTGCAGATCAGGTATCATGTCTTCTCCTGCTATGCCTCAATGGTTATTCAAAGGCTGCGTGGAACTTGTCGCTAAATTGCAGGAATATGGTGTTACATGGTTTTCTTGACATGAAAAAAGAATTACATGATTTTACTTCCGCTGTTTCCAGTTCATCGAGGAAGCGGAACGAAGCCTTCATGATGCCATTATGATTGTGAGAAGAGCACTGAGGAACTCGACTGTTGTTGCTGGTGGTGGTGCTATTGATGTATGCTCACATGTTCCAAAGTTATAGATTGCTGAATTTTTGAGAAATTCCTGTGGTATGTCATGAATCATGAATCTGTGGTATATTTTTGATTTCTTGTTTTCTTCTGCAGATGGAGATAAGTAGATACCTGAGACAGCATGCGAGGACTATAGCTGGGAAATCTCAATTGTTTATTAACTCATATGCCAAAGCACTTGAGGTATGTCTTGGCCGGGCTGCTCCTTTTCTCTCTTTCTTAATGTCAATCCAATTTTATGTGCTCATTATTTTGTTAGTCAGTTCAGAGTTCAGAATTGAATATTCTTTTTTGTTATTTCATTCTAGTTTGAACATGGGTATCATGACGGTTTCCCGTCTTGGTGCAGATTATCCCACGCCAACTATGTGATAATGCTGGTTTTGATGCAACTGATGTTCTGAACAAGCTCAGACAGAAACATGCACTACCATCTGGTTCCTGATTCATTCCCTTCTCTCTCTCCCTATCTCCCTGTCCCCCCTCCCCCTCCTCTCTGCTATATATACACACACACACACCTTACATGATGTGTTGAAGTCTCATCTCATTTTACTGATATCTGCCCCAATGACTTATGTCAGGGGAAGGTGCCCGTTATGGTGTGGACATAAACACCGGTGGCATCACTGATACGTTTGCTAACTTTGTATGGGAACCTGCAGTTGTGAAAGTACGGCAGATCTGATTCCAACATTTTGTGAATTGCATTTTCTTAACTATCAACTATGGCTAAGTTCTATCCCTTGTGCAGATCAATGCCATAAATGCTGCAACAGAAGCAGCTTGCCTTGTTCTTAGTGTGGATGAGACTGTAAAAAACCCAAAGGTACTCTTGGCACAAATGTCAAATATTAAAAGTATAATTGAATGACTAGAAACACACAAGGGCAAATATTGATAGTACTTTTGGAGACTGTGAACGTGGGAAGTTGGAAGCTACAGATGGCATGCTTAGCATGCTACTGATTCAAGTGCTTTCAATTGAACTGTTATTTTTACCTTTTCCTGCTTTAGTGGCAAAAGCTTCAGTATTGTGTTTGCATCGTGATACCTTTTATTTTCAAGAATTCCTGAATTTTACTTCAGCATTTTCTTCAAGTCCCTTTATTATTTTATTTTTTCTGGTACATGTTTACCACTTCACAGCCATTGTCCTTATCTTCATCTCAATTTTCGAGTTCCTTGCTACTTGAAATGTGTTATGGACTTTGTAGTCTATTGAAAGATAAACTATTCTATAGAAGATTATGTATATTGTTCCTTTTCCTTAATGAGATTGTTCACCAATTGAAGAGATACATGGTCTTCTATGTTGCAGTCAGAGAGTGCTCAAGGTGAGGCTGCTGCAAGTGCTATGGGCCGTGGACGTGGTGGTGGGCCTGCCTTCCGTGGCCGTGGGAGGGGCATGCGCCGCCGGTAAATTTCAACGTTTAATTTTTTGTATAGTAATGTTAACCAAATTTGCTGGTGCTTTATTTCCTATATCATCTGGTTTTTTTATTATGAAACAATTTTGTAGTTTTCCTAAGAAACCATGTTGAGGTATTTTTGGCTCTGTCCTTTGTTTTTGCATTTGGCACATTGAGTTTACGACGCAGACCAATGCCTTGCCAAGGGATTGTCTTGTATGGAAAATTTTCTTTGTTTTTTTTTGTGTTCTAACTTCTGAGCTTTGTCACAAGAATTTGAGCTGCCGCTGTAGATTTTGATACCTGGCTATGACAAATTTATATGGCCATTTCACATCTGATTCTAGCTCAGTTTCTTCACATATCATTTAAACCAGATTCCCCCCCGCCCCCCAAATAGTAGGTTGATATTGACGTAAAGCAGCTTCCTCAATATTTCCAATCAAATTTTTACATGCCTTCTGACTCGAGCTAACCCAGATTTGATATTGTTAAAGAGACTTGGTAGGGGATGTGATCAGTGACTTTGCAGTCTCCTGATTTGGCAAGGCAATTTCATTTTCTTATCAATTAATACTATTCCATTTCTCTTGACATCTTTTTATAAAGGGGTGTGGTTTGCATAAGGCTGAGGCCCTAAACAATCAAAGTAAGGCGCACATTCAAATACAATGAAATATGTTGTTTCAGTATAAAAAATATCTATGATGGCCTGAAAATTTATTTACATCTCTAATTATAAAATTTAGAGATTCAAAAGTAGTGTAGATCGAGCAAATCTATGAGCATTTAAAAATCTTGAAAATTGATGATCTAGATAAAGCATTACAAGATGCACTATTTCCAAAAATTGAAATCTTATTTTCAAAAATTGAAATCTATTCTTTTTCATATCAATAAGGTTGAGATGATCAAATTGAGGGTTTTTTTATAATTGAAACATCTTCTAATGAATTTTTGGTGGGTGTCTTAATTTGATTGTTTAGAGCTTCACCTTTATATAAACTTTTTCCTTTATTAACATGTTGAAATGGTTATATATTTGCTAATTCAAAAGTGGATCATAACACCAAATACCTGTTTTGACACTTTTGGGGGTTAAGTTCCATTAGGATCATTGGTCCTGGTTTAGCAAACTGGTAGCTGCAATTTTTTGCGTTGTTACAAATGGCACCCACTTCATATTTTGAACGCTTTTTTATTGTTTACAATAATAATTTGAAAGGTATTTGAGCTCTCTTTGTCATCCGTTAATCCATGCAAAAGCTCACAGTTATGGATGACTTCTTAGGTGTATTGTTGTTGGTTGTTGTAAAGAGCTTTGGGAATATATTTGTTTTAATCAAATTGGACTTTGAATCTTTTGGTTTATTTGGCTGCTGTTTCAAGAGAAGGTCCTCCAATGGTGTATGTATATGGAATGTTTTTGTTTGCAAATTTTATATCAGGATACTCTGTTGCAACTAAAGATGGATTCCATATGTACAATAGGAATTATTTTGGGGTAAAGTTATGCACCTAAATATCAACTGTTTGGCATTTCACCTATTTTTATCAAAAGACAAAAAAAATATCAATTATTCTCATTCATGGGCATGTGTAAAGGCTTTCCCAAATTGAGTAAATGGATGAGATGTTAAATAAATAGTTCTCTCTGAAGTGATTTTTGCTAAATTTCTACAGAAAGGAAACCCTTTGAGAGTAGTTTGCGAGTGTGAAACAATCCAAGTAGATGCATGTTTGAAGGTAGAGAGAGGCAATTTAATCAGATTGTCTCTAACACGTTTTTTTTTGTTTTTTGTTGGGAAATTTATTCAGAGGCCCATGAGGAATGAACTTTTTTAACATTTTACTCATATCTTTTGATTTAATGTCAAATTAACCATTAAAAGGCTCATGATCCTGATTGAAATAAGTTTAAATGGGTAAGATAGGGAATGAAGCAATGAAATAAAGTTAAACCTTTTTGGGATAAATCATATCCTCTCCTTTGCTCTTTCTTCAGTCTCTTGGTTTGAACCCGAGTCTCCCATCTAGATTAACAAAAAGAACAAAGCATTTCTAACTTCTCACACCAACAGCTTTGCTCCTTTAAATGCAAAAGCTTTGGCGATGTAGTAGTGGAGATGAGGGGGCCGATAAAATCAAGAGCATTCCAAGTCCATAGAAGCTCTACACTGTAACTGCAGATGAGGAATGGAAACTCCTAGTAAGAATCCACCCAATTTGGGCAAGTGGTACTGCCTTCACAACAATTTATGTTTGATGCCAATAATGTTTGTTCATTGGGCGAGGAGATGGACTGTAATATGGACTCGTTCAAGGTCCCAATTGCCTCTCTCCCTATCTTATGACACAAAAATGAAAACCATTTGAAATCTCACCGCATCACAAACTCAAAAAATTTGTCCCAAACAACTCAATTTCCGTTAATTTGCTGATAAACTTCCAAAGCCATTAAGCAGAGGCCCAAGGGACCTAAGTTTCATGGCTCTAGAGCCAACTTTGACAAAAGGGGGAAGAGAGAATTTTCCGTAAAAGATCAAAGCTTTTCGGTTATGCAGGCACCAATTTGTTAGTTTTCCTGGTGAATTTCTAGTGGGGTTGAGGAAAAATCCATGTTGTGTGGTGAGCAAGAGTGGAGTTTTGAGGAGAGAGAGAGAGAGAGAGAGAGAGAGAGAGAGAGAGAGAGAGAGAGAGATACTACACATACAGTAGAGTAGAAGGAAGAGGTAGGGTAGGGGTACGTAGTAGGTAGGTAGGAGGAGGAGGGCGTCGTAGGTCGGGTCGTACGTAGTAGTTTA